AGGAAGGAAGAGGTAAGAGGGAAAGGAGGGGGAAGGAAAGAAGAAGGGAGAGAAGGAGAAAGTGGGAGGGATGAGAGAGAGAGAAGGGAGGGAGAGAAGGAGTGGCGTGGGAGAGTGGGGGAGAGAGGGGAAAAAGGGAAGAATGAGGTATTAAAGAAATATGGGGAGGTCTAAGGAAGGTGATTGAGTGTGAGAGGGAGAAAATGAATGAAGGGTAAGTGGGGGATAGGGATAAAGATTGATAAAGGAATAAGGAGGAGGGGGTGGAGAGAGGATTAGGGAAGAAGTGAGGGAGGATGAAATGGGAGGGGGGAAGCAGACAGGAAACGTGAGAAAGAGGATTAAGAGATGAGACTGGAAAAAAAAAGACTGTAAGGGACAAAGGAGGTATTTGAAGTTGCTCATACCTATACCACAATTGGAGGGGGTGGTAGGAAGAAAATCAATTGGTAAGATGGATGTTATAAAGGTTGGATGGTAAAAGGGGGATGAGACTCTTACAATATAAGAAAACAGATGTTTGTTTACCTTGTTATATAGTTAATTTAAAGACCAGAATTTTGGGTGCTACAACTCACCCATGCGAAATCTCTTTTTACTCACGTGAGTCCTTCCTATCTTTACTTTTCTTATTTCTTTTCCCCTTCATGGAGCTCCGGGTTTAGCGTCCACTCATCAGGCTGAGGCTCCACCCCCTCCTTAACTTCTGACTAAAGGTGTAGAATTAATCCAGTGTGACACCAACTGAACTGCCATGGTTCTATGCTATAGAAACCTGGGAGTTTTAGCTTTACCAGGCATTTAGCCTTCTCCGCCTCGGCAAACTACAATTCCCAACATGTCATTGCCTTGAGCCATGACAGTTAAAGTGATATCAAACTGCATTCATTTTACTCAGCAGATGCAGGTTTGGAACCAACCCTACTCCAGACTTGATTCGTTGTTGTTCATTCATTCAGTCGTCTCCGACTCTTCGTGATCTCATGGACCAGCCCAGGCCAGAGCTCCCTGTCAGCCATCACCAACCCCAGATCCTTCAAGGTAAAGCCAGTCACTTCAAGGATGCTATCCATCCATCTTGCCCTTGGTCGGCCCCTCTTCCTTTTTCCTTCCATTTTCCCCAGCATCATTGTCTTCTCTAAGCTTTCCTTTCTTCTCATGATGTGGTCAAAGTACTTGATCTTTGCCTATCATATCTTTCCCTCCAGAGAGCAGATGGGTTTTTTTTCCCTGGAGGATGGACTGGTAAGATCTTCCCCCGGTCCAAGGCACTCTCAGCATTTTCCTCCAACACCTCAGTTCAAAAGCATCTCTCTTCCTTCGCTCAGCCTTCCTTATGGTCCAGCTCTCACATCCGTAGGTTACTACGAGGAATACCATTGCTTTGACTATGCGGATCTTGGTTGTCAGTGTGATGTCTCTACTCTTCACTATTTGATTGAGATTGGTCCTTGCTCTCCTCCCAAGAAGTAAGCGTCTTCTGATTTCCTGGCTTAAGTCTGCATCTGCAGTCATCTTTACGCCTAGAAATACAAACCCTGTCACGGCCTCCACGTTTTCTCCCTCTATTTCCCAGTTATCAATCTCTCTGGTTGCCATAATTTTGGATTTTTTATGTTTAACTGCAACCCAGCTTTTGCACTTTCTTCTTTCACCTTGATTAGAAGGCTCCTCAGCTCTTCTTTGTTTTGGGCCATCAAAGTGGTATCATCTGCATATCTAAGGTTGTTAATGTTTCTTCCAGCAATTTTTACTCCAGTCTTGCATTCCTCAAGCCCCGCACATTGCATATGTGTTCTGCATATAAGTTGAATAGGTTGGGTGAGAGGATACAACGCTGACGTATGCCTTTCCCAATCTTGAACCAGTCTGTTGTTCCGTGGTCAGTTCTTCCTGTTGCTACTTGGTCCTTATACAGATTCCTCAGGAGAGAGACAAGGTGATTTGGTATGCCCAGACCACCAAGAACTTGCCACAATTTGATTCACTTAATTCACTTTCCTATAAATCAGACATGGGCAAACTTGGACCCTCCGGGTGTGTGGGAGTTGAAGTCCAAAACACCCAAAGGGTCCAAGTTTGCCAATGCCTGCTGTAAATGATACATGGCCAACACTACTGATCATCAAAAGAGAAAAGAGAGAGAAAATATAGGAAATGTCATGCAAAGGAATGGAGGATGCAGGCTGGAATCCTCATGTCACCTCAAGTATTGTGGAGGAGGACAGAGTGGCTGACAAAACACAGAACATAAAATAACAAAATGCGACATCAAAGGGACACTTGATGGATTTGGAGTTGATCAAGTTTTGCATCGCAGGAGCGAAATGAGGCTCTCAACCTGCCATCTCCATTTGTATGAAAATTATACATCCATTTCCAAGATGTTTTTTTACAGCCTCGAGCGCTGAGGAGCATCTCTGTTCTGTTTTCTTTTGTTTGAAATGGAAACGTTTTCTTTCTTTCTTCGTTGCCTGGGAGGGAACAAAGAGTTCTGCAAATGGGGAAAAAAGGCATTGAACAAGAGGGAGGAGGCCTGCCAAGGCAGAGCTTAAGAATGTTGGTTGGACAGATGGCTGGATGGCCATCTGTCAGGGGTGATTTGAATGCAATATTCCTGCTTCTTGGCAGAATGGGGTTGGACTGGATGGCCCATGAGGTCTCTTCCAACTCTTTGATTCTATGATTCTATGACTACAACTTCCAGAATCCATAGGTGGCAAACTTGGGTGTAGTTCAGGAGTGGAAGTTATGTGAATTATGAGCAATGGTAGTAACCTATGGATGTGAGAGCTGGACCATAAGGAAAGCTGAGCAAAGGAAGAGAGACGCTTTTGAACTGTGGTGCTGGAGGAAAGTTCTGAGAGTGCCTTGGACTGCGAGAAGATCTAACCAGTCCATACAAAAGGAAATAAAGCCTGACTGCTCATTGGAGGGAAGGAGACTAGAGACAAAGTTGAAGTCCTTTGGCCACATCATGAGAAGTGTTCTGTCACACACTGTGCCTGTAATAATTGTCTTTTGAAATAGGACGTGCACCTTGTGCCCAGCGGGAAGCCAGGGCACCATGAAAGAGGCCCTCAAGGATTTTCCTGAAGAAATGGTCTTTAGATGGCTTGAAAGGTTAAACAAAGTCCTTTATTATTGAACAAATTAAACAGATATTTCTCAAATCTTCAATGAGTCAAACAAATGCTTCAAGGCTTTAAATCAACTGGTGGCTTCCTTAATCTTGTCCACAAGGGACAGGCAACTGTCTTTGTTAACTGTTCTTTCACTTTAAGAGCAAAACCCTTTTTTAACCTCTCCCAGGCTGTCTGTTATCTAAGTTTTGTTGGTGTGGGATCTACTACCGATTCCAAACTGCGTCTTGGTACCAAGTAAACCTACCAGACAAAGCTTGTAGATTCTCCAGCTGGAGTTCTTTGGGTCTGTAAAGCTGTTTTCCCTCTGGAATTTCTTTTAAGACTTTAGGGCTGTTTCCCTCAGATGATGTAAGGCTGAGAGGCTGCAAGCTCCCAGCCAGAGCTTTGGGAATTTTCCCCTGGAATGTCTGGTGAAATGAAGCTTTTCTGCAGGTGAAGCTTGTCCATGTCCTCTAACTTAGCTTTCCTCACTAAGACTAACTAAAAATAGCCCCCCTCTTCCCTTCTCATCTCCCTGGGAGAAGGGGTGGATCCAAACTTAACAATGATAGACAGGTGGCTTGCCCTATGACTGCAAACCAAAGGAAGCCACCTTCTTGCAGAATCCCTGAAACTTTGGAATGCATGCAAACACTTAATAGAAAGAAAATAAAGTTGGAGCTCCTGGTACAGACGAACCAGCACAAGAAGACAGGAAAGCTTAGAGAAGACAATGATGCTGGGGAAAATGGAAGGAAAAAGGAAGAGGGGCCAAACAAGGCCAAGATGGATGGATAGCATCCTTGAAGGGACTGACTTGCCCCTTAAAGGAGCTGGGGTGGCCATGGCCGACAGGGAGCTCTGGTGTGAGATGGTCCATGAGGTCATGAAGAGTCAGAAACAACTGAACGAATAAACAACAAATGAGCCACATGTAACCAATGGAAAGGAAAGTTCCTCTCTATGTGATTTTAGACTGGCTGTCCCCAACACTCCCCAGAACCCATTCTCCAGTCAAAAACACACTTTGGATGAGTAGGCTGGTTGGTTGGTGAATGGGATCATAGCCTCTTCAGTAGGAATGCTGAAGCAAAGATTAAGGCTACCAATAATCAAATACTCTAAAATCATAACAGTAAATAAAGATCAATACTTAAAAACAAGGGAGTTCCAGACAAGAAACAACCAGAAACAGCTAAATCACCTCTCAACAAAGGATTCCCCCATGCAGTAAGAAGCCACACCTTGAAACTTGTCTGTTGGAGCTAGGTGTGAATGTTTCAGTTGGCCACTTTGAGTAGCATTTAATGGCCTAGCAGTTTCAAGGTGTGGCTTCTTACTGCCTGGAGGAATCCTTTGTAGGGAGGTGATTAGCTGTCCCTGATGGTTTCTTGACTGGAATTTCCCTGATTTTGAGTGTTGTTCTTTATTTACTACTAGCTGTACCTGCCACACATTGCTGTGGCCAACCATACCTCTTTCCCTCCTTCCTTCATTCCCTCTTTTTTTCCTTCCTTCCCGTCTTTCCTTCTCTTCTTCCTTCCTTCTCTATCTCTTTCTTTCCTTCCCCCTTTTTCTTTCTCTTCCTCTGTCTCTTTTCCCTCCCTCTTTCTCTACATCTTCCCCCTTCCTTCACTCCCTCTTTCCTTCCTTCTTTCCCTTTTTTCTTTCCTTCTCTCCTTCCTTCTCTAACTTTCCTTCCTTCCCCTTTTTTTCTTTCCCTCCTTCTTTCTCTCCTTTCTTCCTTCTCTACCTCTTTCCTTCCTTCCTTCTCTCTTTGCTTCCATGCTTCCTTCTCCCTTTCCTTCTTTCTTTCCTTCCCTCTTTCTTTTCCTTTCTTTCTTTCTTTCTTTCTTTCTTTCTTTCTTTTTCTCCCCATCCCTCCCTCTTTCTTCCCTTTTTTCTGTATTGTCATTTAGCTTTTCGTCATTTAGGTTTTGGGGGCTTTTTAAGCCCCTTCTGCTGTGTTTTTCAGTGTTTTTATGAGTGAAGGACATACATTGGGTTGTTAGGTGTCTTGTGTCCAAATTTGGTGTCAATTCTCCCAGAGGTTTTTGAGTTCTGTTAATCCCGCAAATAAACATTACATTTTTATTTATATAGATTAAGAAGCCAGACCTTGAAATTGCTAGGCTGTTCAATGCTACTCAAGGAGGCCAAGGTCTGGGTTCTTAATAGTAAATAAAGAACACTCAAAAACAGGGGAACTCCAGACAAGAAACAATCAGGAACAGCTAATCACCTCTCAACAAAGGATTCCCACATGCAGTAAGAAGCCACCCCTTGAAACTGCTGGGTCATTCAATGCTACTCAAGGTGTCCAACTGAAACATTCACACCTACCTCCAGCAGACAAGAGTTCTTTCTCCCACCCTGGATATTATTCCACAGCTATATAAACCCCATTTTCCTAGTTTCCAACAGACCTCACAACCTCTGAGGATGCCAGCCAGAGATGCGGGTGAAACGTCAGGAAAGAATGTTTTGCCTGCATCATGATTCATACAAACTAGATACTTTAACTCATAGAGAGCATGTGTTGCTTGGGCTATAGTAATTGGAAATTGTGCTCTTGATTGTGGTAGTTTCAGCGCTTCCCATTTTTCTAATTCTTCTCTAGGTGAAAGACTGACCGAGGAAGAGGTGGAAAAGTTAATGGCTGGCCAGGAGGATTCCAACGGTTGCATCAATTATGAAGGTATGCTAGATGACTCCCAGTTAGTTCCCTTGGGAATGGGTGTTTATTGCATTTTTCCCAGGCTCAAGTTGATAATGTTACTTAGAGTCATAAGAGTCATAGAATCACAGAGTTGGAAGAGACCTCCTGGGCCATCCAGTCCAACCCCATTCTCCCAAGAAACAGGAATATTTCATTCAAATCACCCCTGACAGAAGGCCATCCAGTCTCTGTTTAAAAGCTTCCAAAGAAGGAGCCTCCACCACACTCCAGGGCAGAGAGTTCCACTGCTGAACGGCTCTCACAGTCAGGAAGTTCTTCCTCATGTTCAGATGGAATCTCCTTTCTTGTAGTTTGAAGCCATTGTTCCATTGCGTCTCCAGGGCAGCAGAAAACAAGCTTGCTCCCTCCTCCCTGTGGCTTCCTCTCATGTATTTATGCATGGCTATCATGTCTCCTCTCAGCCTTCTCTTCTTCAGGCTAAACATGCCCAGCTCCTTAAGCCGCTCCTCATTGTTCTCCAGACCCTTGATCATTTCAGTCGCTCTCCTCTGGACACATTCCAGCTTGTCAATATCTGTCTTGAATTGTGGTGCCCAGAATGGGACACAATATTCCAGGTGTGGTCTAACCAAGACGGAATAGAGCATGGGGAGCATGACTTCCCTAGATCTAGACTCTAGGCTCCTCTTGATGCAGGCCAAAATCCCATTGGCTTTTTTTTTTTTGCTGCCACGTCACACTGTTGGCTCATGTTTAACTTGTTGTCCACAAGGACTCCAAGATCTTTTTCTCCAGTTGGACCCAGCTTCTGACCTACGGCAACCCAAAGGCAAACCCATCACAGGGTTTTCTTATCAAAGTTTCTTATCAAACCAATCACAGGGTTTTCTTATCAAAGTTTGTTCAGAAGCTAGTTGTCATTTCTTGCCTCTGAGGCCGAGAGAGTGTGATACACCCAAGAACACGGGCAAGAGAGGATTCAATCCCTGACCTCTAAAGTTGTTTCTCAATGATCAAACCACACTGTCTGTGAAGTATTAAATGGTTTTCACTTCTTCCATTCTGTTCCAGCCTTTGTCAAGCATATCATGGCAAGCTGAATCCAGGTAAGCCTGCACATGCTTACATTATTGCTTTTGGAGAGTGGAGTGCAGTGAATCTTCTGCTAACTGATGCACTTACTCTCTGGCTTTGGATGAATAACTGACTGATCTGGGGGGGGGGGGAGGGAATCAATTGTTTGCTGTAAAAGCTTTGCATTTCAAAGAATCTCTGCTGCTGTTTTGTCCAAAGAAAGAGATTTAATGTGGTATAAAGCAGTGCTTATCTATTGTCAGAAAGAAAGGCAAGCTTGGTAAAGTGCTTTGAAAGCATGCAAATCTTTGTATAGCAACCCAGTGTTAGGGACTGACTCCAGGAGAAAACAAGTTCATAGAAAGCATCAGATTTGAATCATGTGGTCAGAACACTGGGCAGACTCAAATGAAAGACCCCCAAACCTAATCTGGCTGTTGTTGTTGTTGTTACTATTATTACAGTTTTAAACCCCAAAATATACTAACATTCAGAAATAATTAAATTTTAATGTTAATTAATAATATTAATATTATTATATTAATAATTATATTAATAATAAATAATAAATAATAATATAATAATATTAATGTTAATTAAATATTAATATTAAGAATCTATATAAATAAAAAAGTAATGTTCGTTTGTGGGTTTAACAGAACTCAAAAACCACTGGACGAATTGACATGAAATTTGGACACTATATCCCTAACAGACCAATGAGTGACCATCACTCATAACCCAAAAAAGTAGAAAGGACTTAAAAACCCCAAAAGATGAAAACTAAATGACAATACAGAAAAAAGGGGAAAGAAGAGGGAGGAAAGGAGAGAAAGAAAGAAGGAAAAGAGAGAAAGAAGATAGAAAAGAAAGAAGGAAAGAGAAAAGGAAGCATGGAAGCAAAGAGCGAAGGAAGGAAGGAAAGAGGTAGAGAAGGAAGATCAAAAGAGGGATGAAAAGAAAAAGGGGGAAGGAAAGAAAGAGGTAGAGAAGGAAGGAAGAAAAGGTAAGAAAAAAGGAAAAGGAAGGAAAGAGGTAGAGAAGGAAGAAAGGAGAGAAAAGGAGGAAAAGAAGGAAAGACAGAAGTATGGATGGAAAGCAAAAGCGAAGGAAGGAAGGAAAGAGGTAGAGAAGGAAAAAGGAAAGAAGGAGAAAAAAAGAAAAAGGGGAGGAAGGAAAGAGGAGGAAGAAGGAAGGAAGGAAGGAAGGAAGGAAGGAAGGAAGGAAGGAAGGAAGGAAGGAGGGGAAAAGGAAGGAGGGAAAGAAGGAGAGAAAGAGGAAAGTTGGCCACAGCAACACATGGCGGGTACAGCTAGTTCTTAATAATAGAATGGATAGAAACCATGTACTTTTGCTTGAACTCTTCACATTAAATACAATTAGTGTACACTATTTGAACGATGAATAGCCTCTCTTTGGGAAAGCACATCTAGACCAGGCATGGGCAAACTTTGGCCCTCCAGGAATAAGACAGAAACATAGATAATCCAAAAAGGTTCAGTTACAGGTCATGACCAAACAGTTTCCCAATGTCTCATAAAGTTCCAAAGGTGATCAAGTCCAGGAACAGCCATAAATCACAGGTACAGTATAAGTCCACAAGCAAAAAAGGCATAACTAGTAAAAACTTGGACAGGAACACAAAAACCTTCTAGGATATATTAAATCCAAAACCAAGCTTGACTTGAACCAAGAACAGAGAACTCGGGCCTAGTTTCTCACTTGATTGCTACGTTACCTGAACTGCCCTTAAGGTAAACAACTAGCTGTTTAATAGACACCCATGAAATCATTCCATTTCCCTTGAATTTTCTCTGCAACTTTCCCACATAATCTCTCTGAATGATGCAATCTAATTTCTGCTCTGATCTATAAACAAAGACTCTTGTTGATCTCTATAGCTATATGTGTTTTCTCTTGGGAACCTTCCTTATCACTCAGCTCTTCACTCGATTCCTCATCTACTGTTGCTACTTCTGGCTTCTCTGGCTGCCCATGAGGCCCTGCACTTTCTGAGCCAGTTTTCTCACAGAGAGAGCCTGTCGCAACTCAGGATAGATTCACCTTGCCCAAGACACCTCCACACATCAAGGTTGTAGGTTTTGTAGTTTATTGAGAAAAAGCAAAATCAAAACAGAGAAATAACGAGGTAAAGTTCAATAGGCAAAACAGTGTCTTAAATGCAAAGGCAAAGTATCCAGTTTCCAAAGGCAAATAACATGAAGCATAGTCCTTTAGCACTGGTTAAACAAGAGTCCATGACAGCAAAACAAAGTCTCCGAAAATCAGGATCAAAATCAAAGTCCTAAAGAGCCAGAAGCTTTCTGCAAAACCCAAGGTAATTCCACAGAAGTTAACAGGGTAAAAGCAACATTGGACTGACAGAGAAGGCCCTTTGACCAGATCATTAAATAAGTTTCCCCAACATGAAAGCATTACGTTGACCTCTAGCTTCACGGTTGTTTGCAAGGTGTGTGCTTCTCCGAACTCTTAATTGTAAACGGTCTTCTCTAATCAAATCTCCACTATCTTCAAGGCCAGTTAACTCATTATCTTCACCCTGCCAGGCCTGGTCACCTTGGGAAACAAGAGGCCCGGAGCTCCCAGAAGGAGCCTGCACCTGGAGCTCCGAAGTTTCACTATCTTTATCTAAAGCCACATTCTTTTTTCTGGGGAATAGAAATGCTGTCTCTTCTTCAGAATCAACACTGTCTGCTTCAACTGCCTCACTAACTGGAACATGTTCAGAAATCTGTAACCCATCCTCCTTGTCCTAAGGAAACTCATGTTCAGAAAGCTCAGGCTCAGACTGAACCACAGCAGAACCATCATTTCACAGACTTATATTTCTCAGACTTGAGGGCCCATCACTTTGTCCCACAGGAAAGCTCACAATCCTCTCTAAATCATCAGTTAAACCATCAGCTGCTGGCTGATCTACAACAGATGGTGACTTGACTGATAGATGACATATGTTCCGTATCTCAAAAATGAGAACTGATGGGGGAAATTGATGCCATTTTTGGAATCAACAGGTCAAAGATACCCAGAAATAGGCCTGCCATATGAGGTGCCAAAAATATGTGTTGGTCAGTGTAATGGATCTCAATGGTCTCCAAATCTGAACAAACCTGGTTCCAGCTCATTGTGGTGTGAAGTTCTTCCCTGATTCCAAAGCTCAACTTCCATTTGAAGTCAGCAAAGACACATTTTAAGAAATGAATTTTGGTCCCAACCCAGTCAAGTTGAGAAAGTTCATGTTCTCCTCCAACGCTGACTTCCTCCAACATTGTGAAGGTTTCTAACATACACTACCGAGCTCTGCAGGCCCCAACTTGACTCCAGACACTGGTCAACCCAAACCAACATCTCTGCAGAAGGAGCTGGTTTTGTCTGGGTTTTCACTGGTCACTCAGGACAGATTTCATGTTCTTTCCTGGAAAGAAACAGCAACACAAACATTGCCAGTCCATGTAACTGCTCAGAGTCTGTGTTGATCATTGTGTTTTTGGTTCTTGGGAAAAAGTTGACCTTGGACAGGACCACTCCATCAATTATGCGAGCCAAAAAAAATGGTGCCTGTCTCAGATAAGTGAGAGAAAACATTCTGAGCTGTGCTCTATCAGTTCCTGTTTTTCTCTGCCCTGGTTTATTTATCTTCGCTTGCCTCCGCTTCTTGTTTGCTTAAGGAGACCCAGAATTATCACAGCTTGTGTGGCTGCAGACCGGTGGGACCATGGCCTGTTATTGTCATATCTGCCCACCAAATCCCTTGGGGCGAGTAGGCAAGAGAGCAGAAGATGAAACCAGGCTGCCAAGAGGTTGCCTTGGCTGGGTCCAACCCTTTGCCAAAAAAGAAGGCTTTCAATAACAGACCCCTCCACCACCAATACATTGCCCTGCTTTTGCTGTAGCAGCTCTCTGAGTCTTTACGAGCTTTCCTTTGGATCTTCCATGGAACTGGTCAGTAGTGGAGGAAAGGATATTTAGAAATGCCTCTTGAGCATTAAGAAACCTTGGGAAGAAGAAATCTAGGCCATGTCTACATGGGGTAGGCTGCTCCAGTGTCTTTCTGTCCCAGAGAAGATCCAGCCTGTACTTGCTGGATCTTGGGCTAGTGTCCAAGCAGCCCAATCCTGAGCTGCTTGACCCGTGTTACCATCAATGTATCTCAACATCCATGGAGATCCATGGAGACACCTGGCCATCATCCACCAGATCTGGTAATAGCAGAATAGAGCATCTGCATGATCAGCAAGGAGAGGGTGTTGCATGGTTGACCCATTCCGACGTCAGAAGAGATGATGGTCAGATACTTACTGGGAACCTTTGGGCTTGTAAAATGACTTCCTTAACTTTGGGTTGACAATACAATACATGCCGCCATGCCAAAGTACACCTGAAAGATAAGGATGATTGCATGTGCTCCATCTCTTTCTCCCTCCAACCCCTCCTCTTTCCCCTTCTCCTCTTCTTTCTCTTCCTTCTCCTTTTCTTATTCTCCTTCTCCTCCTGTTCTTGCCCCCTCCACCTCCTCTTTCCCCTCATTTCCTCCTCTGCTTCTCTTCCTCTTCCTCCTCTTCCTCTGTCCCTTCACTCCCTTCTCTACACCTCTGCTTAGTCTTCTGGCTTCTTCCTCCTGTTCTCTCCTTCTCTCTCCAATTCTTTTCTCTTCTTCTCCCTCCCCTTTCCTTTCCTTCCCTTCCCCATCCCATCCCTTCCCTTTCCTTCTCCTCCTTCTCTTCTTCCTGAATGTCCTGAGCCTTAGAATAAGAGTCATAGAGTTGAAAGAGACCTCATGGGCCATGCAGTCCAATCCCTGTCCAACCCCCTGTTGTGCTCTTTTCTGACCATGTGTCTTCACTCTTTGGATCATTTTGCCTCAGTCCAAGGAGCCTGGGTCCTTGGAAGTGGGTTCTTTTCTAAGCTGGTTTCTGAGACTTTCCCGCCTTAGGAATGTCAGTACAGCCTCCTAGTTTAGATGTGCCAAACTTTGGAATCCCAGGACACAGTCAGAAGAACCAGGTAAGCTCAGGCAGATCTTGTTGGCCTCCAATAGAAGCCTGGAGAAATCTGATAGAACCAGGGCAGGCCTGGGAATATTTTCTTTATCGTGTCAGAAGCAAATTGAGGGTACGGTTGCAATATATTTAAAAACTCAAACAAAGTTAAACACTTGGCATTATACTAAATGTCCTTTGACAAGATGCTGGTCATTTAGAGTGCCTCTGGTGTTGCTATACAAAGGTCCTCCATTGTGCATGTGAGGTCTGGGAATAATTCTGTCAGTAGAGACAGTCCCTTAATTTGTCATGTTTTATTTGCTCTCATGGGATCCAAAAACCTGCTTGGCTTGAACATCAATCTCATTAAATAAAACCAAAGCGGGAAATATGACCTCCTACCCGCAACCTCTTGACCACTTTGCATCTCTTTGGAGGACAACATGTGAAACTTTGCTTGCTTGCTTCTGTTTGGTTTTCTCTTAAGCATGTTGCTTTTTCTTCAGCCACCTACAAATTTCACTCCATGGAAACAATCCATTATTAATTCTTCTCCCCTAATATTTGATCATTTGTGTTTTTAGGAGGTGTCAACAGCAGCTGGGTGCCGAGCTTGGATTTCAACCGAATGGAGAGAAGGCATTTGATTTTTTTTCCAAATGAGGATAGATGTTCAGTTCCTCAAATGTATTTTTGATGTTGTTGTGGTGGAATAGTGATTATAAACCCAGTCTTGCCTTCAGCTTGGAACCTCCTTCTTGACTATATCTCACCTTCTTTCCTAGTGTGACTTGGTGGTTTTCCATCAAACTCATTCATCTGAAAGTCCTTGGGTGCATCGACAGTGTAAATTAATGCAGTTTGACATCTATTTATCATAACTCAATGCTATACAATCCTCAGTGTTGTAGTTTAGTTTTACCTGGCCTTTTGCCTTCTCTAGATCTAGGGAAGTCATGCTCCCCATGCTCTATTCTGCTCTGGTTAGACCACACCTGGAATATTGTG